TGGTCATTCTGACTGGTGTGAGGTGATACCTCACTGTAGTTTTGATTTGCATTTCTCTAATGATTAGTGATGTTGAGCATCCTTTCATGTGTTTGTTGGCAATCTGTATATCTTCTTTGGAGAAATGTCTGTTTAGGTCTTCTGCCCATTTTTGGATTGGGTTGTTTGTTTTTTTTGATAATGAGCTGCATGAGCTGCTTGTAAATTTTGGAGATTAATCCTTTGTCAGTTGCTTCATTTACAAATATTTTCTCCCATTCTGAGGGTCGTCTTTTTGTCTTGTTTATGTTTTCCTTTGCTGTGTAAAAGCTTTTGAGATTCATTAGGTCCCATTTGTTTATTTTTATTTCCATTTGTCTAGGAGGTGGGTCAAAAAGGATCTTGCTGTGATTTATGTCATAGAGTGTTCTGCCTGTGTTTTCCTATAAAAGTTTTATAGTGTCTGGTCTTACATTTAGGTCTTTAATCCATTTTGAATTTACTTTTGTGTATGGTGTTAGGGAGTGTTCTAATTTCATTCTTTTACATGTAGCTGTCCAGTTTTCCCAGCACCACTTATTGAAGAGGCTGTCTTTTCTCCATTGTATATTCTTGCCTCCTTTATCAAAAAAAAGGTGACCATATGTGAGTGGGTTTATCTCTGGGCATTCTGTCCTGTTCCATTGATCTATATGTCTGTTTTTGTGCCGGTACAATACTGTCTTGATTACTGTAGCTTTGTAGTGTAGTCTGAAGTCGGGGAGCCTGATTCCTCCAGCTCCATTTTTCTTTCTCAAGATTGCTTTGGCTATTTGGGGTCTTTTGTGTTTCCATACAAATTGTGAAATTTTTTGTTCTAGTTCTGTGAAAAATGACATTGGTAGTTTGATAAGGATTGCATTGAATCTGTAGATTGCTTTGGGTAGTATAGTCATTTTCACAGTGTTGATTCTTCCAATCCAAGAACATGGTATATCTCTCCATCTGTTTGTGTCGCCTTTGATTTCTTTTATCAGTGTCTTATAGTTTTCTGCATGCAGGTCTTTTGTCTCCTTATGTAGGTTTATTCCTAGGTATTTTATTCTTTTTGTTGAAATCGTAAATGGGAGTGTTTCCTTAATTTCTCTTTCAGATTTTTTATCATTAATGTATAGGAATGCCAGAGATTTCTGTGCATTAATTTTGTATCCTGCTACTTTACCAAATTCATTGATTAGTTCTAGTAGTTTTCTCATAGGATTCTCTATGCATAGTATCATGTCATCTGCAAACAGTGACAGCTTTACTTCTTCTTTCCAATTTGGATTCCTTTTATTTCTTTTTCTTCTCTGATTGCTGTGGCTAAAACTTCCATAACTATGTTGAATGATAGTGGTGAGAGTGGACAACCTTGTCTTGTTCCTGATCTTAGAGGAAATGGTTTCAGTTTTTCACCATTAAGAACGATGTTGGCTGTGGGTTTGTCGTATATGGCCTTTATTATGTTGAGGTAAGTTCCCTCTGTGCCTACTTTCTGGAGGGTTTTTATCATAAATGGGTGTTGAATTTTATTGAAAGCTTTTTCTGCATCTATTGAGATGATCATATGGTTTTTCTCCTTCAGTTTGTAAATATGGTTTATCACATTGATTTGCATATATTGAAGAATCCTTGCATCCCTGGAATAAACCCCACTTGATCATGGTGTATGATCCTTTTAATGTGCTGTTGGATTCTGTTTGCTAGTATTTTGGTGAGAATTTTTGTGTCTGTGTTCATCAGTGATATTGGCCTGTAATTTTCTTTTTGTGTGGTATTTTTGTCTGGTTTTGGTATCAGGGTGACAGTGGCCTCATAGAATGAGCTTGGGAGTGTTCCTTCCTCAGCAACTTTTTGGAAGAGTTTGAGAAGGAGAGGTGTTAACTCTTCTCTAAATGTTTGATATAATTCACCTGTGAAGCCATCTGGTCCTGGACTTTTGTTTGTTGGAAGTTTTTTAATCACAGTTTCAATTTCAATACTTGTGATTGGTCTGTTCCTATTTTCTATTTCTTCCTGGTTCAGCCTTGGAAGGTTGTACCTTTCTAAGAATTTGTCCATTTCTTCCAGGTTGTCCATTTTACTGGTGTATAGTTGCTTGTAATAGTCTGTTATTATCCTTCGTACTTCTGTGGTGTCATTTGTTACTTACCCTTTTTCATGTCTAATTTTATTGATTTGAGCCCTCTCCCTTTTTTCCCTGATGAGTCTCTAGCTAAAGGTTTATCAGTTTTGTTTATCTTTTCAAAGAACCAGCTTTTAGTTTCATTGATCTTTTTTACTGTTTTCTTTGTCTCTATTTCATTTGTTTCTGCTCTGATCTTTATGATTTCTTCTACTCACTTTGGGTTTTGTTTGTTCTTCTTTCTCTAGTTCCTTTAGGTCTAAGGTTAGGTTGTTTATTTGAGATTTTTCTTGTTTCCTGAGGTAAGATTGTATGCTGTAAACTTCCCTCTTAGAACTGCCTTTGCTGCATCCCATAGGTTTTGGATCGTCATGTTTTCGTCATTTGTCTCTAGGTATTTTTTGATTTCCTCTTTGATTTCTTCAGTGATGCATTGGTCGTTTAGTAACATATTGTTTAGCCTCCGTGTGTTTGTGTTTTTTATAATTTTTTTTCCCTGTAATTGATTTCTACTCTCATAGCATTGTGGTCGGAAAGGATGCTTGATATGATTTCAGTTTTCTTAAATTTACCGAGGCTTGGTTTGTTTCCCCAGATGTGATCTGTCCTGCAGAATGTTCAGTGTGCACTTGTGAAGAAAGTGTATTCTGCTGTTTTCGGATGGAATGCCCTATAAATTCAATTAAATCCATCTGGTCTGATGTATCATTTAAGGCTTGTGTTTCCCTGTTGATTTTCTGTCTGGATGATCTGTCCATTGGTGTAAGTGGGGTGTTAAAGTCCCCCACTGTTATTGTGTTACCGTCGATTTCCCCTTTTATGGCTGTTGGCATTTGCTTTATATATTGAGGTGCTCCTATGTTGGGTGCATATATATTTACAATTGTTATATCTTCTTCTTGGATTGATCCCTTGATCATTATATAGTGTCCTTTCTTATCTCTGATACAAGTATTGCTACTCCAGCTTTCTTTTGATTTCCATCGCATGGAATCTCTTTTTCCATCCCCTCACTTTCAGTCTATGTATGTCTCTTGGTCTGAAGTGGGTCTCTTGTAGACAGCATATATACTGGTCTTGTTTTTGTATCCATTCAGCCAGTCTGCATCTTTTGGTTGGAGCATTTAATCCATTTACATTTAAGGTAATTATCGATATGTTTGTTCCTATTGCCGTTTTTTAAATTGTTTTGGATTTGTTTTTGTTGGTCTTCTTTCTTCCCTTTTTCTTTTGTACTCTTCTCTTATGGTTTGATGACTATCTTTAGTGTTGTGTTTGGGTTGCTTTTTCTTTTTTGTGTGTGTATCTATTTTAGTGTTTTGGTTTGCAGTTCCCATGAGGTTTTGATGTAGCAGTCTGCATACAAGGTTGTTTTAAGTTGCTGGTCTCTTGATTTCAAATGCAGCTCCCATATTCTGCATTTGTAGTCTCCTCATGGTTGCTGGTTTTGACATCATATTTGTGTATGGGTGATTTCCTACTTAATTACTTTATGTTTGCATTTACCAGTGAGCTTTCCCATTTGTGATTTTCTTATTTCTAGTTGTGGCCTCTTTTTTTACCCCCCTGCCTAGAGAAGTTCCTTTAGCATTTGTTGTAACGCTAATTTGGTGATGCTGAATTCTCTTAGCTTTTGCTTGTCTGTAAAGCTTTTGATTTCTCCGTCAATCTGAATGAGAGCCTTGCTTGTTAGAGTATTTTTGGTTGTAGGTTTTTCCTTTTCATCACTTATACTCCAATAAAGATATTTAAAAGACACACATATATATATGTGTGTGTATATATATGTATATATATATATATATATATATATATATATGTTTGTATATCTCGTGACACTCTCTTCTGGCCTTCAAGAGTTTCTGCTGAAAAATTAGCTGATGACCTTATAGGGATTCCCTTGTATGTTATTTGTTGCTTTTAATATTTTTTCTTTGTATTTAATTTTTGTCAGTTTGATTAATATGTGTCTCGGTGTGTTCCTCCTTGGGTTTATCCTGTATGGGACTCTGTGCTTTCTGGACTTGGGTGACTGTTTCCTTTCCCATGTTAGGGAAGTTTTCAGCTATAATCTCTTCAAATACTTTCTCAGGCCCTTTCCCTTTCTCTTCTTCTTCTGGGACCCCTATAATGTGAACGTTGGTGCATTTAATGTCCCAGAAATCTCTGAGACTGTCCTCATTTCTTTTCATTCTTTTTTCTTTATTCTGTTCTGTGGCAGTGATTTCCACCACTCTGTCTTCCAGCTCACTTATTCGTTCTTCTGCCTCAGTTATTCTGCTACTGATTCCTTATGGTGTGTTTTTCATTTCACTTACTGTGTTGTTCATCTCTGTTTTTTAAATCTTTTGTCTCTTTGTTAAACATTTCTTGTATCTTCTTGGTCTGTGCCTACATTCTTTTTCTGAGATTTTGAATCATCATTACTCTGAACTCTTTTTCAGGTAGATTACCTGTCTCTAAAGGAGCTTGAATTTAAATGTGAAGGTCCTAAGACCCCCAGCCCACTCCCCAAGCCTCTCACCTGTGAAGGCGACTGGGTGCCCCTGCAGGGGACTGTTGTCAAGTTAGTCCATACCCATGAGCACTCATTGCTCTTGGGGCTTGTGGCCAGCGTCTGAAGGACTGAGAAGTCTTCATGATGTGCGCAGGATTGTGTTGGATGCCTGTGGTCTGGACCCTGGAAGTATGGTGGCCTCAGCCTTCCAGCACCTTGGCTCCCCACCAGGGTGCTTGCTAGGACCAGGCTCAGCTGTTTAGGAGGCTTGGGAGACCCATGGGTTGCTTCTTCAGGACCAGGGGACAGCAGCAGGACTGGACATGGGAGGTGGGGGCATCCCAGCCCAGCATGTCACTGACCTGGCTTCTCCCCACACAGCCCAGAGCACGCGGAGCCAGAGGTCCAGGTGGTGCCAGGGTCCGGCCAGATCATCTTCCTGCCCTTCACCTGCATTGGCTACACCGCCACCAACCAGGACTTCATCCAGCGCCTGAGCACGCTCATCCGGCAGGCCATCGAGCGGCAGCTACCTGCTTGGATTGAGGCTGCCAACCAGCGAGAGGAGGGCCAGGGCGAGCAGGGCGAGGATGATGAGGAGGAGGAGGAGGATGTTACTGAGAACCGCTACTTTGAAATGGGGCCCCCGGATGTGGAGGAAGAGGAAGAGGGTGGGCCAGGAGAGGAAGAGGAAGAAGAGGAAGAAGAAGAGGAGGAGGAGGAGGGCGAGGAGGAGCGCCTGGCTCTGGAGTGGGCCCTGGGCGCAGATGAGGACTTCCTGCTGGAGCACATCCGCATCCTCAAGGTGCTCTGGTGCTTCTTGATCCACGTGCAGGGCAGCATCCGCCAGTTTGCTGCCTGCCTCGTGCTCACAGACTTTGGCATCGCCGTCTTTGAGATCCCGCACCAGGAGTCGCGGGGCAGCAGCCAGCACATCCTCTCCTCCCTGCGCTTTGTGTTCTGCTTCCCGCACGGCGACCTCACCGAGTTTGGCTTCCTCATGCCGGAGCTGTGCCTGGTGCTCAAGGTGCGGCACAGCGAGAACACGCTCTTCATCATCTCAGACGCCGCCAACCTGCACGAGTTCCACGCTGACCTGCGCTCCTGCTTCGCCCCGCAGCACATGGCCATGCTGTGCAGCCCCGTGCTCTATGGCAGCCACACCAGCCTGCAGGAGTTCCTGCGCCAGCTGCTCACCTTCTACAAGGTGGCGGGCGGCTGCCAGGAGCGCAGCCAGGGCTGCTTCCCTGTGTACCTGGTCTACAGTGACAAGCGCATGGTGCAGACAGCCGCCGGGGACTACTCGGGCAACATCGAGTGGGCCAGCTGCACGCTGTGCTCTGCCGTGCGGCGCTCCTGCTGTGCACCCTCCGAGGCTGTCAAGTCTGCTGCCATCCCCTACTGGCTGCTGCTCACACCCCAGCACCTCAACGTCATCAAGGCCGACTTCAACCCCATGCCCAATCGCGGCACCCACAACTGCCGCAACCGCAACAGCTTCAAGCTTAGCCGTGTGCCGCTCTCCACTGTGCTTCTGGACCCCACACGCAGCTGCACTCAGCCGAGGGGCGCCTTCGCAGATGGCCACGTGCTTGAGCTGCTTGTGGGCTACCGCTTTGTCACCGCCATCTTCGTGCTGCCCCATGAGAAGTTCCACTTCCTGCGCATCTACAACCAGCTGCGGGCCTCACTGCAGGACCTGAAGACTGTAGTCATCGCCAAGACCCCTGCAACCGGGGGCAGGCCTCAGAGCCCCCCTGTGGATGGCCAGGCTGCCGAGGACGGGGCCCGGTAAGACCGAGCATGGGCTTTTGGGGGCCAGGGGGCGGGAGGCTGGCTGAGACCAATCACTTCACCCAGATCTCCAGCACCCCTCAGCATTGCCTTTGGCTCCCTCGGGCTTGGGGCTTGGTGCTGGGCTGCTCCTTATCTCCCAAGGCTTCAGAAGAGGCCCAGGAAAGCTGTCCTTCCACAAAGCCAGGCTGGCCCAGTTCTCTGCCATTTAGAGTCCTGTGTGGCTGGGTCCCACCTTGCCTGGCCCTCTCCACTGGGTCCAAGCATGGCCTCTAGGCATCACCCACGCCTCCTCGCCTCCAGGCTCGCAGTTCCGTGGCTGGCTCTGTGAGCCAGGGGGCTGCTTCAGGCACCACCTGCCTCTGACCCCCAGCTCCAAGCCCGTACCCTTTGGTGAGCCACACACGCCTTCTCAGGAAGACCTGGGTTGCTCAGGGGCCCTCTCTGTGTGTAATTTTGTGAGTCCGTTCCAAAGGAAGCTGTTGGCTGAGAGCAGCAAGGTTTGAGTGTGTGAGCTGGGTGGTCACTTTGTGCAAAGCTCCTTTTCTTCTGGGGGGAGAGTGAAGTGCAGAGAGGGGAGGAGTTGGCAGCCCTGTCCTCTTCTTTTTTTTTTTTTTGATTTATTTTTGGCTGCATTGGGTCTTCGTTGCTGCATGCGGGCTTTTTCTAGTTGTGGTGAGCGGGGGCTACTCTTCACTGTGGTGCGCAGGTTTCTCATTGTGGCGGCTTCTCTTGTTGCAGAGCACAGGCTCTAGGCGCGTGGGCTTCAGTAGTTGCGGCACGCAGGCTCAGTAGTTGCGGCTCGTGGGCTCTAGAGTGCAGGCTCAGTAGTTGTGGCGCACAGGCTTAGTTGCTCTGCGGCATGTGGGATCTTCCCAGACCAGGGCTCGAACCCGTGTCCCCTGCATTGGCAGGTGGATTCTTAACCACTGCTCCACCAGGAAAGCCCAGCCCTGTCTTCTTCTTCCTTACTCTCCTTCCCCTGCTCCTGCCCCCGAGCCTGGCTTCTCTCAGGGCCGCCTGGGATTGGCATATAATGGCTTGTGTGGGGCCATGGTCACACCCACAGGTTCACCCCTGCCTGGGGCTCAAGAGGCACCCTGTGCCCTTCAGGGTGCCCCTTTCTCCTATTACTGTTCCCAACTTCATGTATGCTGGGGCTTCCCTACCTGGGCAAGAAAGCCCTTTGATTTTTGGCCTTCCTGTCCCATGAGACACGGTGTAGCTCACTTTCTCTTCCATCCTGGTGGACAGTGGAGACCCTGCCCTCACCCCAACATCTCACGCCTTCTCTGTCCAACCCAGCCCCTCAACTGATGCTCCCAAAGGTCATCCAGCATCTTCCTGGCTGAATCAGGGACCCTGTCTTATGCCCAGCTCAAGTTCCATGCTCTCCATAGAGACCCTTGATGCCTCCAGGTACTGGAGAGCCCCTTATGCCAGAGGCGGCCTTGCATGGCCATCTCTCCGTCTCCCTGCCCCTATGATAAGGCTTCAGATGGTGACACTTTGTCTCAGTTTCCCTGCCACCCTCAAGCCTGGCTGGACCCTGCCCACAGTAGGGACTGCATGCAGAAAGCAGGCGCTCTGCTTCATCCCAGCAGATGCATCTCTGCTCCAAGACAGCAGGAGGGCAGCCCAGAGGGCTTGGGGGCATTTGGCCCAGTGCAAGATCAGGGCCCCAGGGATCTCTTTCAACAGCTGGACTGTCCAGTTGAGAGGATGCCATCCAGGACTCCCCACCAGCATGAGCTTGGGCATGTAGGCTGGTGGCAGGGAGCTCCAGACTTCTGTGAGGGTTCTTTCTGAGCTTGTTTGATCTCATGCTTGGAACAGACCAGAGAAAACCCAGTGTGGCCACATGCAGTGGTGGCCGAGTGGGGTGAGATCCCGGGCTACCTGAGGAGGCCTCGAAGGCAAACTGAGGAGCGGTTTGAGTATTTGGTTCTCAACTCCATGTTCCCCAAGGTCCCAGCCCTGGGCACCTTGGTCTGTGCTCTGGACTCTGTAGTGGCATTTCTGACACCTTTACCACCTTCTCAAAATGATTTTTCAGCCCATGAGCCACATCTGTCTTTCTCAGCCCTGCCCTATCTTCCCATCTCCCCCCGAAGAGAAAGGGCCCCGGCACCTTCTCTCTGCTCTTTGGTCTTCCCATAAGGAGCCAAGATGAAATCCCCAGATGACCCCAGAGGTGGTGTGTGGTATATGCGTTTCCCTCACACTGAGGTTACACGTGGGATGTGAATCTGTATTTGGGACTCTTGTGTTAATATGGTTTTTCTTGGGGGATTGGGAGATGCAGCAATGAGCAGCATCTCCAGGAGGTCCCGGCAGAGGCTCCAGCTCCAGCCCCAGCCCCAGCCCCAGCGGAGGTCCCAGCTCTAACCCCAGCAAAGACCCCAGCTCCGGCAGAGCCCTCAGTGCCAGCTTTGGTCCCAGCGGAGGCCCCAGCCTCAGCAGAGACCCCTTTGGAGGCCTCAGTGGGGGCCTCAGCCCCGGCAGCAGAGGCCCCAGCACAAGTGGAGGCCCCCGCCCAGTACCCAAGTGAGCACTTGATCCGGTCCACGTCGGAGGAGAATCAGATCCCTTCGCACCTGCCCGCCTGTCCGTCGCTCCGGCACATCGCCAGCCTGCAGGGGAGCGCCATCGTCGAGTTCTTCCACAGCAGCGTTGCCGAGGTAGGGCCAGCGCACCTGTGGAGGAAGGCGGCACTGTCGTCCTGGGGCCCCGGCAGGCTCATCTTGGGGTTAGCCTCAGGTTCCCAGACTTATGTGTGCTGGCTTTTCCCCCAGCTTCAGCTGTTCACAGCTTTGAGGGCCTGAGTAGGGAGAACCTGAGGTGCCCTTCCCTGGCCAGTTGTTCCCTCCATCACCGCCTCCTCCTGTGGCCATTCCTAGCCTCGGGCCCCGGGCAGACCCCACGGCACACCGTCTCCCATCCCTCACCACCTCTCTGCTTCGGAGTTTATAAATACGTTGACGAGACACAGTAGAGGTCCCATGCCTCCCCATCCAAGGCTGTGGGCCCGTCCCTGGGACGGCAGGTCACTGGGTAGTGGGGCTGGCGGAGGCCACCCTCCGCAGAGGCCTGGAGGAGGAGCTGTGTGCCCCGGCCGCCCTGCTCTCCTGCAGGCCCCAACCCGGCCCCTCTGTGTCCAGGTGGAAAACGAGGAGCTGCGGCACCTCCTGTGGTCGTCGGTGGTGTTCTACCAGACCCCGGGGCTAGAGGTGACCGCCTGCGTGCTGCTCTCCACCAAGGCCGTGTACTTTGTGCTGCACGATGGCCTCCGCCGCTACTTCTCGGAGCCGCTGCAGGGTGGGCACTGGGGCCTGAGGGGATGGGCGGGGTTCTGTCTCTAGAGCCCCTGTGCCACGTCAGGCAGCAGTGATTTGCTGCACTGGGCCGAGAATCTCTTTTCTGAGGAAGGGGGGTGATCACAGCACTTTCCTCCTGGAGCTGTCACATGGGATGCGAGGCCAGGCGTGAAAGCGCCCAGTAAGGCCCTGTGAGTGCCCGGGACCCAGGCGTGCTGGGGGGGTGTCGGGCAGCCTCTGCCCCTTGGGGCCTTGGTGGGTGCCTTAGCCAGTGCCCTGTCCTAGGGCTCCTGGTGTCTCCAGCGTACCAGGCAAGGCTCAGACTGTAAAACACGTTTCCCCGAGGCCATGTGTGCTCAGAGGTGGCGGGGGCTCCTTGCCAGGCCTCAGTGGGCCAGGCCATCAAGGGGGCCCGTTCCTGCTCCACGCAGCTGCACACCTGGGAACCTTGTGCTCACCCAGCACGACCACCACCATGTTCGCTCCCTTTCTGTCTACCACAGATTTCTGGCATCAGAAAAACGCCGACTACAACAACAGTCCCTTCCACATCTCTCAGTGCTTTGTTTTAAAACTCAGCGACCTGCATGTAGTCAACGTTGGACTCTTTGACCAGTATTTCCGGCTGACGGGTGAGTGGCCACTGTGCTTTTGTCCTATTTTGGGTGAAGGCCAGTGTCACCAGTGGGCTTCCACCTTCATATGTGGGTGCATTATCGCAGGCAGAGTTTATCTGCTCAAAAACCAGTTCACCGGAGCGGGAGGAAGCAGCTTCAGGAACTGCTGAGAGGGCAGAACTCACCCCTCAGGACTTGGAGCGAGAGGCTGGGGACAGAGGCGGCAAAGTGCTGGGTGGGCGGGCAGAGTGGGCCCTGGGCTCACGGGCAGGATGTTTCTGACTCATACTTCCTGAAGAGAGAAAGCTAAGCTCTTTCCCTAATGCCTCTGTATCCCCTTCCAGAAAAATGTTACAGCCCTTCCGGCCTGAGAAATGGCCGTCTCCCCAGGCCCCGTGATGCTTCCTCAAGTGGGTCCTCCTGACCCTGGCTCTGTGGTCCTCAGGTCCAGGCTAACCTGCTAGAGACTAGAGACGGCTCCAGGGGTGGGGATGGGGCTGGGGGGAGTAGCAGCCTGCAACCGTGCCCGGCCCCTTCTCCCGCAGGCTCCTCTCCGGCGCAAGTGGTTACATGCTTGACACGGGACAGCTACCTGACACACTGCTTCCTCCAGCACCTCATGGCCGTGCTCTCCTTGCTGGAACGCACGCCCTCACCTGAGCCTGTCGACAAAGACTTCTACTCTGAGTTTGGAAACAAGACCACAGGTATCCCCACCCAGCTCAGGTCTCCTCGCCAACCCCAAGGGCTGCAGCAGGCCCCGGAACAACCTCTCTGTGCTGCAGCACCCTCTCTGCTTCTAGCGCGCGCGCTCGCTCCCTCGCTCGCGCTCGCTCTCTCTCTCTCTCTCTCTCTCTCTCTCTCTCTCTCTCTCTCTCTCAGGGTTTTCCATGGCTTTTCCATGGCAGAGTCTCTGGCCCGGCAAATCCACAACCGTTCAGCATCTCAGTGTCTGCTCTACTCTGAGCTGCTGGGCTGAGGGTCTCTGCCTGAGGGTGGGGGCTTGGAGTGCTCTCTCCCACTTCTGACAGACACGTGACTCATGCTGCTGTCTCTGGGTGGCTTGGGGCTGCTGGTGAACCACCACAGGCCAGTTCCAGGCTGCAGCCCCGGTGGCGTCTCTCTCTGCAGGGAAGATGGAGAACTATGAGCTGATCCACTCAAGCCGTGTCAAGTTCACCTACCCCAGTGAGGAGGAGGTTGGGGACCTGACATTCACTGTGGCCCAGAAGGTGGCTGACCCAGAGAAGGCGCCATCCCTCAGCATCCTGCTGTATGTGCAGGCCTTCCAGGTGGGCACACCACTATCTGGGCGCTGCAGGGGCATGTTGCGCCCCAAAACGCTCCTGCTCACCAGCGCCGAGATCTTCCTCCTGGACGAGGACTTCGTCCACTACCCGCTGCCCGAGTTTGCCAAAGAGCCGCCACAGAGGGACCGGTACCGGCTGGACGACGGCCGCCGCATCCGGGACCTGGACCGCGTGCTCATGGGCTACCAGACATACCCACAGGCCCTCACCCTGGTCTTTGACGACGTGCAGGGCCACGACCTCATGGGCAGCGTCACCCTGGACCACTTTGGGGAGGTGCCAGGTGGCCCAGCTAGAGGCGGCCAGGGCCGTGAGGTCCAGTGGCAGGTGTTTGTCCCCAGCGCTGAGAGCCGAGAGAAGCTCATCGCGCTGTTGGCCCGCCAGTGGGAGGCCCTTTGTGGCCGGGAGCTGCCCGTGGAGCTCACTGGCTAGCCCGGGTAGTAGCTGGCCCTTGCCACCCGCCGTGTCTGGCCTGGTGTCCACTCAGGGCCGGGAAGCAGGCTTTCTTTGCTTTTTTAAAATGTTTTCTCTTCTCTTTCGGTACCTTTGGTTGATTGTCCTCCCAGAGAATGTGAACATGTGTGTTCAGTTGGTTCTCAGCCTCCCGCGGATCTGCTGCCTGCCCCTGGTGCCGCGTGGCCAGGCACACCAGTTTTGTGTCTTCTTTCGTGGGACCGTTGTTAACATGTGGCGCCGTGGGTCTGGTTTACTCTTTTACGCGTCCTTTCCCGAGATGTTAAGTTCAGTCTTGTTGCTGTTGCTGTCATTGTGGGCACTTGCTGCTAATTATGAAGCTGGCAGAGAAATGCACATTGAAAGCTCCCGCTCCATGCAGTTTTCCAAAGGGGAGGCCTCTCCCGGTCCAGACAAGTGGGAGAGCCCCATGGGGGCAGGAGTCCCCCAGGCCTTGGGGCTGAGAGGGCTGGGAGCAGGGGACCTAGAGCTGCCAGCACCAAGTGTGATTCCTGTTGCCTATTTTCTCTATTCCAGTAAAGCCAAGTTTGACACAGTCTGGGTCTTTTATTTCAAGGGCCACTGGGGTCCCAGCAGGGCATTGGTTCAGGGCGTGGTTGGCCTGAGGGGGAGAGGGTGCCTAGAGATGCAAGAAGGTCTTGGGGTAAAGGAAGAGGGGAGGAGCCTGTGAAGGGCAAAGGGAGCTGCTCTCCCAGGGCCAGATGCTGGATGGGTGTCTGTGGAGCCTGGGGCAGGGGAGGTGTGAGGGCATCTTTGGACAGGGCCGTGCTGGGCTGTGGCTAAACCAGGAGCCTCAGGGCAAATGAGAGGAATGAAGCTCCTCAGGTGCCCCTGGCACACCGGCTGCTGCCCTGCCAGCCCTCAGGTCAGGACTGTCACACCCAACCTGTTGTGAGGGTTAGGCCTGGCGTCTGGGACGGCTTACTCTGTGGGGTCTAGGGGTCTCACCAGCATGGCCTGCAGAGGAGGTGGCCCCAGCGGTGGATAGTGGGGAGGAGGGCTCTGTGCCGTCCGTGTCTGGGTTCATGTCCTGAGAGATGATTGCTTCAGGGAGCTCTGCTGAGGTAGGACGTGGGATTTCTTTGGGAGCCAGCCCCTGTGCCCAGTCCCTCCTCAACCCATTTCTACCCCATAGCAGGGCCCCTGAGGCCCACTTACTTTCTCTCATCCTGGCCAGTCAGGAGCCTTCGGCCCTAAGGCTGCAGGACCGTTTTGGTCCAGCAGTATTGGGGATGGGGGAGGGGCCAGCCGGGTTCCCAGGCCTGCTTCTCCTCATTTTTCCCTTCGTGCCAGCAGAGTGGGGATCCGTGCCTGGAGGACCCATCACCATCAGGAAGGCTGTGGTGGATGGGAGGAGCCACCAAGGGGAGGGGAGGGTCTCTGCATTCACCTCCCCCCAGCCAAATCTCAAAGACCAGCCCCATGGCCCCTCAGCTGATGGGGGAGGGACTGCCCCCAACCAGACCTTTATCAAAAGCCCGTACAGATGGGCCACCTGCCTGTCTCCATCGGTTATGTCATACATAAATGGGGATTTATAGACCAGAGGCAGGGTCCACCATGCATAGGCCTTACCACCTAGACTGCTGTTCCCAGGTCCCACAGCCCAACAGTTAGCAGCCGACCCCAGCCTGGGTCCGTGAGGACAGGACCTAATGGGGGGAGTCCATGCAATGTAGTGGGGGGAAGGGCGCCCCACAGGCAGCAGACCTGGGGTTGGATCTTCACACTGGTTAGCTGAGTGATCTTAGACAAATTCCCTAGCCCCTTTGAGCGTCCGTTTCCCCACCAGTAACAGGATAATAAAAGTGCCTGCATTCATTCAGCCCACAAATCTGAAGTGAGCATCCACGCGTGAACCAGGCCGGCCCCTTCCCTGCTCTCCCATAGCTGGCATTCCAGTGGGGGACAGAAAATAAACTAGTGTCAGCTGGTGGCCAGTGCTACGAGGAGGTGAAGGCGGGAGACCTTTGACCTGAGGCTGAACCTTGTGGTGAGTCCTGTGAGGATCTGGGGTAACAGCAGCACCCAGGGAGCTCGCTCTGTGGTTATGGAGTAGAAAAGCCTGTGGTGGAACAGAGTTGGGGGTGTGGAGAGCAGGCAGCCGGGTCAGAGAGGCTGGCCTGCTGTGGACAGGGATGCGGGGCACAGGGGGCAAGCCTCAGGGCTGAGTGGAGAATGCATTGGGAAGGGAGGGCTACTGGCAGCAGGGAGGCCTCTCTGGGCGAGAAGGGCGGCGCAGGGACACATGGGGGATGGGGATCCTGGGCAGTGGAGGCCGAGCAGGGCAGGTGAGGGGGAGCAGCCTGATGACTGTCCACTTAGCAGGGAGTCGGAGGCCTGCACGTGCCCTCAGCAGCTGGAAAGGTAGAGGCAGACGAACCTGATTCAGAGGCTGCCCTCTCCCCCAGGCACCAGAACCCCCCAGAGCTTCTGAATGAAACATGCTGGGCTTGCAGGTACTTGGGGTTGGGGAGTTGTTTGCATCTGCTCCTGAGTGTGCTTCACAACCTCTGAAACACCCCAGGCTTGTGGCTAATGGTGGGCTTGGAGGCTGACGCCAGGAGGAGGGTCCCGGGCCAGGAAGCCCCAAGCTGGGCCCAGGCGTCCATGCAGGGGTCAGTGGCCAGCACCTTCCCTTCCGCCTGCAGGCTGCTGATACGCAGGAGGAAATCCTGGCGGGTTCCTGTGGGGGTGAGCTGGCGGGGCCTCCCGGCTGCTTTTAAAGCGCCCGCCCTCCCTGTCCTGCCTGCCCGCCCTGTGCCTGCCTCCTAGAGCTCATTCTCCGTGCCGGCTGCCCCAGTTCTGTCCTGGACAGCGTGCCCGCCAGCCACCACCAGCCATGGCAGGGCCCCGGGACCACCTCCTGCTCTGCCTGCTGGTCCTCTGCCTGGCAGGCTTCAGCTTCATCGGGGGGCAGAAGGTGAGTGTGAGCCGGTCGTGGGGGGCATGACATCCAGGCCCTCCCAGCCAGTAGTAGGAGCAGGGAGGGAGCGCTCATGGATCACGCACGGGGCTGGGGACACAGGGCAGCTGGTTCTTGTCTGACCTTCTCTGAGCTGGACAGAGGGCTGGGCTCTTGTGCCCACCTCCCCAGGCTGAGGTCTGTGTCTCGCTGCTTGGGGTGGCAGGGATGTGTCAGCTTGCCCCTCTGTGTCCGGCTAGCCAGCCGGGGGGTGTGGGCAGCCGTCCCAGGTCTCCCCAGCCTGAGGGTAGGGTATACAGAGCCGGGCCCATCCCCCTGCCCGGACTGAGGCCCGGTGTCTCTGTGGCCCTGGCTTGGGGATGGGAGATGTGATCACCCCCAACCCTCGCAGGGCTGACAAACTGAGAGGTTCACGTGGACCATGTGTAGGCGTGCTGGGTGTGTGTGCATGTGTGTGTGCCCAGAGGCAGAATGAGGTCTACTCACCCCCAGTCCCTCTGGGCAAACAGCAGCCAACAATAATGCCCTCAAGCCTAAGAGCTGCTGTTCAAGTGCACAGCCCTGGGCACACCCAGCATCATCCCCTCAAGCCATCCCAGCCCCTGAGCAGTGGGCCCTGTTATTCTCCGCTTGAGGAAGCCAAAACCCAAGGATGATAGAGACAGGTTGGTCCAACTCCAGAGCCACGCTCCAGACCGCCATCTGCGGTTCCCCATCTGGCCATGAGGGAGGAGCCGATGGTCCCAGTGTGTGGCTGTCAGGTCCACATGCACAAGCCCCCTTTGGGATGCCTGTCTGCAGATCCACCCAAGCCCTATAGTAGGGACATTTTCCCAACTGGAGTTTCTGTGAGAGCCTCCCACCCTAGGCCTGGAGACAGTCACCTGGCTGGGGCCTGCCTCCAGGTGAAGGACCCTTTCCTGTGAGGCCAAGTTCTCTTGGGGCAGCTGCTACTGTCCCCAAATCACTAACAGGCAGACTGAGGTCCCGAGAGGAAAAGGACTTGCCCAGGATCCCACTGCCAGGCAGAGCCAGGACAGGGACCCAGGCCCTGTGCTACCCTGGGGCTTGCTCTCATCGGCCTTGTGGTCTGGTGAGGGGCCTCACCAGCTTCAGGGCCAAGTCAGGGTTGGGAACGGGCAGATCTGAGGTTGAAAAAGTGACAGTGATGGTGGAAGAGCCAAGGGTTTCAGGCTGTGCTGAGCCCTGCAGGTGGTTCCTGCTCCCTCCCTGCCTCGGTTTCCCCATGTGTACAATGCAAGGGAATTTCGAAGGCCACCTCCTTATGTTCTTGTGACAGGGGTCTATGAGGGGCCTCAGCCTGGGAGTTTTTCCTTGTCACAGACCACCTCTAAGTCTGCCTTCTGGGGCTGGGGCTCAGACCTCCTGGGCCAGGGAAGAGGGCCCTGGGGGTTCTTGTCAGGGACGCAGCGACGCTGGCCTCTCACTCACCCTCAGTCCCTCAGCACTACCGGCACCTTGTGTAGCACGAGATCCACTGTAAACATTAGGAAACCGAGGCTCTAAGGGGAAGGGATGACTTCTGGGTCACATAGCTAGTGAGGAGCAGAACTCAAACACAGGAAGATTCAGGCAGTAGAGGCAGAGAAGGCTTCCTGGAGGAGGGGGCTTAGCACCTGTCTATTCAAGTCTTTCACAAGTGCCTCCTCTGCTAGGTGTATGCTGGTGCAGGTGAAGCCTGTGGTCTCAAGCTGGGGTTTGAAGGGAGAGGAGCATTGATCTTGGGCAGGGGGAAGTAGTTTGGGAGGTCCCTTCCCATCTGAGGGAGTTTGGGTTCTGGGCCCTGGGCCCAGCTTGAGGGAACTTCTTCCACCTTCTCACAACAGGCTAACACCTCGTGTCTCCTCAACTTCCCCAGCAGTGTCTCTATGGGATGCAAACATTGCAAAATCAGTTCTGGATTAGGACAGGGAGGGGAGCAGCACCCGCCTGGCTCAGACGGGTCCCGAGGTGCCCTAGGGAAGAAGGGAATCTGATTCAGCACTCGGCTGGAATCCAGCCTCACTCCACCCAACGGGACCAGTAGCGAGATTGTCGGCTGGGGCTGATGCTCCTTCCACGCCACCAGGCAGAGGGGGCCTGCATGCCCACTTCCGGTGAGGTCCCAGAGAGAAGTGTGACTTGTCCGCTGGTTTATCCATCCATCACACAGTTACAGATATAACAGCTCGTGAATGAGTGTCCACCCCACCACCAGCCACAAGGCTCCAGCTTCCTCCCGTGCTTGTGACTCACCCCCCACTTGACAGGACCTCCCCCTCTGCCCAAGAGTGAGGACAGTGCTGTCTCACTGCCCCTGAGCCCTTATCCAGGGCTGCTCTGAGAACTGGTCCCTGGGCCATTGCGCTGACGCTGGCAGCTGTGTCTGGCTGGCCAGGTGGCCCTCAGGGGAGCCCACCACCTGCAGAGCCTTTGCCCTGAGCCAGCAGCTGCCTGGCCCTGAAATTACCCAACTTCCTAGTCGCTCCCTGGCTCAGCAAAGACCGAGCCTCAGGCTGGGGAATGAGACCACAACATCCAGCCCCACAGCTCGGGCTGAGGCCGCCCGCAGCAACTTCCCTCTTTGCAGACCACAGAGGCAGGAGCGGA